CTCCACTCTACTGTCAGTGAATATTTTAAGAACATTAATTTGACCTTGTCACAAATGCTTAACATCCTTGGTGGCTTATAAGCTGTGTGTTGGGCAACCAATCACAAGGTCAGCTGTTCAAATCCACCAAATGTTCCACGGGAGAAAGATGAGACTCTCTGCTCTCACAAAGATTTATGATATCTGGAATCCTGAATGGGCATTCAACCCTGCCCTATAGGGTCATTATGAGTCAGAATTGACTAGATGGCAATGAGTTTAATTGCTGTTTTCTATTCTTTGTATACGAATACAAATAATATCTTCTTACTGCCACCAATAAGTGTCTCACCACTGTCCTCATGCTCAGCTCCTGCCATCAGGATACATTTCAGGTTCTCGAAGGTACCGTGAACTCTGGCGAGTTGCTGAGGATTGAGGCCCATGCCCTGTTGTCTTTGCTTTTCCTCACACTCCTCCCCTACACCTGTACCTCTGCTCCCGTCCTTGAGACAGCCCTGTCACATTCATCAGCACGATCCAACTAATACTTCTCTCACATATTTTGAAACTTGTGCATATCTCACATAACTGCTCAGTCAATAAATACTGATCTATTGATTGAGCACAGCCAATAATTCAATAAACACTCTTACATTTTTAGTATTTCCCTTTTCATTTATATAGAACCAAAAGTTAGCATTGTTATATGAAATTGGCATTTTTGCTTCAATGGCAAAAATTCATATCCTATATTTAAATTGGGAGGAATTTAAAGATCGAGAAGATAGACTTGGAATAATCCCCAGCCAAGGCACAAATCTTATACCCAAAGTCAGTAAGCACAAATAAGATTGCCAAAAGATCAAACACAGTATCTATCATGGGACAGTTATATACATAATGTGTTTTGTGATCTGACACTGGATTAGGAGAATCAGTTCATCGAGAACTCTTACTAACGTCGAAGGTAAATTGCTTCCCTCCCTCCATCGAGCAATACAATGTTTGAGCTACAAACATTTTCATGCTCGCTGAATGCAACACCTCCCTTCTTATTAATAAGAGAATCAAGGCACTGAGGTGTTACAAACTGTAGAGTTGTATTTGTCACACTCACTCTTTAAAATACTATTTCACCATCTTCTCCGTAACACACCCGAAAAACGACCATTTTATAGACTTCAGAAACTCCTGTGGTGAATTCAGGGTATACTCAGTTTCCAGGGTCCTTATTCTAACTTCAGAGCTTATCGCCCTACTTATAATTTAAAGATTGATAACGCTTGAACTATCATTTTTGTCATTTTATTCACCAAAGGAAAATTGGTAGGCACAGTTTGTGCCCAGCTGCGAACCAAAAGGTTGACAGTTTGACCCCAGTGCCTGGGAAGAAAGGCCTGGCAAACTGCTTCTGTAAAGCTCACAGACACGGACAACTCAATGGAACCCGTATGCTCTATCATGAGTCAAAATCAACTTTGTTTTTAAGCAAATGAGCAAACAAATCTACTCCCAAAAGTTTATAATATTGAATTTTAATCCTTCAGCCATAAGGAGCTGTATTCCCCGGCAGTTAACATCGCCACATGAACTGCCAGCGTCCCCTATACACAGGCTGTAGTTAGTCATCAGTCTGCTGCATCACCAGTCTGCTTCCTCCATTCACATCACCTGCTAGCCTGGTTGGCATTTAGACATGTGTTACTTGCTCTAAAGAAACATTTGCTTTGGCATTTTTCAAATAAATGATGTGTGTGTTGGGGTTTCCACTTGAAACTTTGTCATTGTGCTTAGGATCAACTAGAGGTATGCTCTTTACCTGTGAATCCCTGTGAATTGCTGGAAATTTTGAAATCACAGAGACTTTCATTTTAAATCACATATATATTTTTAAAGTAACCATGGTGTTGATGTGGGATAGATGTTATGGCTAAACCCAAGGTCGGTAGTTCAAACCCCCCTACCCCCACTCCTACTTCTCCTTGGGGGAAAAAATGAGGCTCTCTGCTCCCATAATGATTTAAAGTCTTGGAAGCACTTTATATAGAATTGCTGTAAATTGGAATTAGCGTGATGCCAGTGGAGTTGGGTTTGGTTCAGTTCTGTGGGATTTCTATTTCCACACCTAAAAAGCTCCATGCTTTTGCTCATGTAAGAGACAAGAAAACTTAACCTTTCAGCCCACCCCATGTGAAACAAAGGCCCTCTGGTTCTTGCTGTGTTCTGCCTCATCCAGGAATGTGCCCCTTGAATTCCTGGCACACTGAACCTTCGTCATCTGAGTCTGGTTGGAAATACAGCCTCGTATATGGAATATACGAATATATGGAATCAAACTGCATTTCCCAGGGGTGACAGTTTGAGGAGCACCTCTACAGTGAGAGAGAGAGAAGCCCTCTCTCCCCCTTGCCCCTGCATGCTGCTTGTCCCAGGCTGCCTCCAACACCATCGCTCCCACACAGACTTTCCCACAAACACTTGCTCCTTGGTAGACGGAGCTGCAGACACCGCTCATGGTCCTGGTCCGTTGTGCACCTCGCATCTGCCAACTTTCCTCAATTCAAACCTTTTCATTTTTTTTTCAGAAAAATTTTAAATGATTACTAAATGGGCCAGAATGTAGCCAAACATGATTTATGAATGGAAGTTTCTCTCGCCATTCCTTGGGCTTGTGTTCTGACTCCTTCACAAATCAGGGATCAAGCAGGGCTTTTATCAAGCTAAAACACTGCAAGATTGAGGTCTGTTTTGCCGCCTCTGGGACAACATAAGGAAGAAAGATGTGCTCTTCCCACGGGGGCAGAAACTTCCCGCTGGCTTGTATCAGAGCCAAGCCACGTGGGGGCCTGTGGTAGATGACACAAGAATGCTTCGGCAGTAAAAGGCCACATGCCACAAAGTTAATGGTGCATCGCATTTGCGACATCAAGATGCAACTCCCATTTACCAAGTTACACTTGACCCATCTGTGGAGACTTATTAGCAACCTTCAAGGAGAACTTGAAACCCTTGCTGATGAAGAGCGAGGATTTAGTGCCCTTCACTCTGGATCAATGTCAGGAAGCCAAAACTCCTCAGCACTGCACCAATAGGTAACATGGTGATAAGCTGAGAAAAGATGGAAAATGTCAAGAATTTCATCTTGTTTGGACCCGCAGTCAATGTCAATGGAAGCAGCAGTTGAGAGATCAAATGATGCATTGCATTTGAGTACGTCTACTGCATGCGCGCGAACTCTGTAAGGTGTTGAAGAGCAGATTGCTTTGAGGACCACAGTGTGCCTGACCCAATCATGGTATTTTCAGCTGCCTCATATGCATGTGAAAGTTGGATATTGAATAAGGACGACCAAAGAACAATCGATGCATTTGAATTATGTTTGATATGCCATGAATTAATGCCCTTAAGTTTGTCCTTATTTCAGACTGGTTCTGGGGTTTACATTTAGGTATTTTATCCATCTTAAATTCATATTGTAGATGGAGTGAGGTGTGAATCCTGCCTCATTTTTCTGCAAATGGAAATCCAATTTTGCCACCACTATTTGTTGAAGAGACTAGCTCTTCTCGATGTAGTTTGATGGATTTTGGCCCTTTATCTATATAGGTGGGTGGATTTATTTCTGGATTCTCTATTATACTCCATCCGTGTATCTATCATTGCTCTAGAACCAGGATGCTGGGACTATTATGGCTATATAGTAGGTTTTGAGGTGAGGAAATGAAAGGCCCCCCTACTGTGTTCTTCCTAAGCAGTGCTTTGCTTACCCTGGATCCCTTTCCGTCCCATGATAGGTTAGTGATTAGTTTCTCTGTTTCTTTAAAATATTGCTGGGGAAAAAAATATTGCTGGGATCTGGATGTAAATCGCATTATATTTATAGGTTGCAATGGGTAGTTTTGGCATTTTCACAATAAGTCTTCCTGTCTATGGATGTACAGCATCCTTCCATTTTTGTAGGTTGCTGTTGGCTTGTTATAGTTAGTCTTTTATCTTTTGCTTTGTTGGGAGTATTAATAAGTGTTAAATTATAGTACAATGTGTGGGAATTTGTGTGTGTTTATTTTTTTAGGTAGGTTGTTTAGAAAGTACTTTAAGTGCTTAACTATTACCTGAGTTTTCTATAACATAAAATATCGGGATGTGATTGGCAGTTTCATAAGATTTTCTTCCCATGACTGTAGGAGATCTGTGGATATTCAACAACACAAAGAAATTCTTGATTTCTGCTCATTAATTGGAACAATTACATAGCATTTTATAATAGTATTGATGGTAGAGCTTCTGTTTTTTTGTTTTGTTTTTAAATTTAAAACCTGGCTTGTATTTAAAGGGACAAACTTCATCAGTAGTCTTGATTTTTTTCAGGAGAAAAGGTCTCAAAATATATTGATTGGCAAAAATAAAGTAACTGAAACATTTTGCCTTTTAAAAAAAATAACTATTTTTCTTTACATCCATACCATTTCTTGTCTTTTTCCGTCTCTGTAGAGTTATATAAGAGCTTATTCAAAGTGTTCTCATAGACTGGTGGTAAATATTCATACATTTTGTTTCATTGCAAAGGACACATGATAATTAAATGTCCATGTAGCCTCTTACTATCCCAGCAATATTTCGTGAGCTGGGGATGGGGTTTTGCCAGGCTTCTACATATGTGCAGCTAGTATTTAGTAGGCTGTAATGAAAATTCTAGTGGCCCAGCATGCTAAGCATGCCCTAAAGACAGTTCTCACAGTGGCGAGGCAGCCGAGCGCATTCGTGCATGGGGGAATCCCGGCCCTTCTCTCCTCCAGTGCCGGCTCCCAGCCGATGTGCTGGCAGCGCTGGCTGCCCCGTCATCCCAGTGTCCTGCCCTGGGAATGACCGCCCAGGCCGCCTGGCTGCAATCTGCAGACATAGGCCTGAGCAAGTGCTGGGGCGAGCAGCTCGGAGGCGGAGGAGCTGCGGGTCTCTGTTGCTATAGCTGTGATGTCACGCGCCAGCCCTAACCCACGGTTGGTTGTTTTGTGTTTCAGCTCCCTGCCTGCCGTTGAACACAAAGACCTGGAAGAGACTGGCACATCCTTCAGCGAGAAGAAAGAAGGCGACGAAGCAGATTAAAGCAACGTGTGGCGTGTGGCCTATTTTGCGCAGAGGCCACCTTTGGAGGGGAAAGGACACAGAAACCAGCGTGGCAGTGACCGAGCTATGAGATGAGGCCGTGCTGCTGACCCCCAGAGCCCGGGATCGCCAGGCGCCCCTCGTGCTTCGTGTACATGTGTCTACTCAGCCCCTCCGGAGGCGCCCAGGAAAGACTCCAACACGGCCGCAGGGGAGAGAGCGCCCAACATGCCCACGGAGACGCTGCAGACAGGTAGCATGGTGAAGCCGGTCAGCCCGGCCGCCACCTTCACCTCGGCCGTGCCCCTGCGCATCCTCAACAAAGGGCCCGACTACTTCCGCAGGCCGGCCGAGCCCAACCCCAAGCGGCTCAGCGCCGTGGAGCGGCTGGAGGCCGACAAGGCCAAGTACGTCAAGAGTCAGGAGGTGATCAACGCCAAGCAGGAGCCCGTGAAGGCAGCGGTGCTCGCGAAGCCCCCCGTGTGCCCGGCGGCCAAGCGCGCCCTGGGCAGCCCGACCCTGAGGGTGTTCGGCGGCAACGCCAAGGCCGAGAGTGGGGTGCCGAGGGAGACCCTGACGCTGGAGATTCTGAAGAACATCCTCAACAGCTCGGAGGGCTCCAGCGCGGGCTCGGGCCACAAGCACCCCTCCCGAAACTGGCTGCCCCACCGGGCCGATGGCCCGGACCTGCACCGCCACTCGTTCGCAGAGTCCCTGAAGGTGTACCCCACGCACGGCCACGGCAGCGCCCCGGAGGGCAGTTCCCACGGCGGCAGACGGCTCCTGGAGCCGTCGGCGGAGTCGTGCCTCCACGTGTCGCACAGCTCGTCGGACATCCGCAGAGTGACCAGCGGGAAGTCGTTGAGAGCAGCCCCCTGCAGCAATTCCGCCCCTCCGCTGCCCCCCAAGCCCAAGCTCGCAGCCCTCGCTGCGACCACCAAGTCTCCAGACGCAGACGCCGCCGTGGAGCCCGCCTGCGCCGTCAGCCGGAGACCGTCCCTGCAGCGGTCCAAGTCAGACTTGAGTGACAGGTACTTCCGCGTGGACGCCGACGTGGAGCGGTTCTTCAACTACTGTGGCCTGGATCCCGAAGAACTGGAAAACCTAGGCGTGGAAAACTTTGCCAGGGCAAACTCCGACATCATCTCCCTCAACTTCCGCAGTGCAAGCATGATCAGCTCAGACTGTGAACAGTCTCAGGACAGCAACAGTGACCTTAGAAATGACGACAGTGCCAATGACCGGGTACCCTACGGCATTTCTGCCATCGAAAGGAATGCCCGAATCATCAAGTGGTTGTACAGCATCAAACAAGCCCGGGAGTCGCAGAAAGTCTCCCACGTGTGACCCTGTGTGCAAAGAGGAGGGGAGGAGGGTGTGTCTGTCTGTGCATACTCACGTGTGAAGGTCGTTAGGTTCCCTTACAGTCTTGTGAGCTTCTCCATGCTCTTTGCAGTTGCTTGTTGTGCAATGTTCCCAAGTTGCATGCCTGTCAACAGGGGGATGACATGGCTCCCACTGGAACCATCACTGCAGAGCCTGGCTGCACACTCTTCATCTGCCAAACGTTCCGGAGCAGAATCTAAGTAGGGCTGCATTCTTAAGCGAAACTGTTTACAAGAAATGGTACACGACTTCTTCGATATTTATGTGGTGTTTGTGTTTTTATATCTCACGCTATTGTGTCTTAATTAAAAGTTTTATCAACTGGCCTTTAAGTTGAAAGTAGAATATTTTTGAAATAAAAAGAGCCAATTTGCCTACCTGTCAGACCATAACCACGGGGACATAAATGGGATGTGCTGTTGAAAGATCAACTGGCCCAAAGCAGAACCAGGCTGTTTTCTGAAGCATGAAGTGGTGAACTTGATGTTAATCACTAACCTGTCAAAACGCTCCTGCTGCTTTGTGAAGTGATTGTTGGGACACCAATGCTAAGTTTTGTGTCTGGCTTAGTGTGTAAATGTGGACGGTTCTGTGGAATAGTGGACCCATTGAATGATGACCTAATACATGGAGGGGGATCAAAACTCGTAGGTGGGTGTTAGGGGGGTTTGTATATGTTGCCTTTTTGGTTTGGTTTGGTTTGGTTTTATGTTGGGTTCCTATCAGAAATGTACTCTATTAATCTTTATACAGAAATGGCTACCTTAAAGCCGATACTGAGTGCCAGGGGAGATTGGGGTCAAGAACTACTTAACTTGCTGTTTCTTCCTCCTCTCTTTCTTTCTGTCTTCCCTCGTTCTTGCCCATCTGTTGTTTTCTTTGGGGGAAAGGAGTAGGGCTTGTTCAGTTTGAGCTTTTTTATTGCCGTGAACTAAAATGGAAGTACACAGCCATATCAGTATAAAGCCTCCTCTTTAAAAGTACCTACTTTTGGTGGCTGAGCCCTGTCTGAGCAACATGATTATGTTGTCTCTCATATGCAACTTTCTCAGGCTGTGGACTTCGTTACCACTCTAGGCAACTGCCAAGACACAGCACGATGTGCTTTTCCTCCCTCGTGGTTTCCAGTGCTATCTATCAACCAAGTCCTTTTCAGCCAGCTGGCCGTGCTGACTCTCATGGTGGGACAGCAATGAGGTAATCTTCCAGTGAGTGATTGGCTTAGTTGCTGTTATAATCTCACGCGGAAGTACATAGCAGCACTACCCAAGACACCATCAGCTCACGGGAAACTACATGGTGTAAATGCTATAAGACTTTGTACATACTTCAGTTGTTATGAAATCTTTAAAAAAAAAAAAAAGGAAAAAGAAAACATTTCACTAATAAATAGCTGTGGCGCAGTCAATACTGGTGGTCGTTTCTCTGTCCTCCCCTTTCTTCCTGCCACGAAAATTTTAACTTAAGACTTTAAGTCAGAAGTCAATTTTTTATAGCTTTGGCATTCTTAATCGTAGTTATAGCAATATGTGCTTTTGCTAAGAATTCCATCAAGTTCCCAAAAGTTGCCGCTATTTTATTGGCTCACACTTAACTCGAGCTCTCTTGCTTTTCTTGAACATCAGGATTTTTCACATCTTCCACAAGACTTTGTTCATTTATAAATATTTATGAGTTCTTATAGAGGAGTGAGGATTTGAAGTTGATAACTTTGTTTTTATTTGTACACATATAGCATTCCCACGACGTGGTTATACAATCATTCATCCATATGTCCCTCTCTCAACACATAATTTGTTAAGTGACTCCTATGTTCGGAACCTATAGTAGGAACTGGACTGGCAGGGTCAACAATGTAGTTACTGCCTCAATTCACCTAGGTTTTATATTTATTTTAAGAAAAATACATTTCCTCTTAATGTCCTATTGAGCATACTATGACATTGAGCATACTATGAACATTTTTATTTTGATTCAAATTATTTTAAGATATATATTTCTTCAAAATTAATCAAATTTAAGAATATTTCATGGCTGCAAGCTATTAATAATAATCAACATTTTCCTTCTGAAAACCAAATTTAATTATTTAATATTCACTGCTGATTTTTTATTCTTCTTGGTTCTCTGGTTAAAGTTCACTTGAATCCTCCCTCCCAGAATAAAAATTTTGGATTACAGCTATACACCACAGTGAGATAGTGCATTACACATGATAGAATAGAAACATGTTTTCTTTCCTTACCAATGTGTTCAAATGTGACCATTTTAAACATACATAATTTAACAATTATATATTCAACTTTTCCTTTTAATAGATGCTTTACTTAGAAAATTTTAAAGTGCCGCCTATGCTATTTCAGTTAATGTTTGTGTTCGAATCTTTAAGCATTTCAGTACCTTATATCATCTGTATTCAGATAGATCTCTAAATCATCCCACTATAATTCAGTCTAATTTGCTCTAATCTTATATATATATAATGGACAACTGTGAGGCTTTGGTTCCCAAGAAAGGTAAGGGATCTTTATTTTCTCTTTGTTCTTAAAATCATTTGTATAATTGACTATTTTGGATGCTTACTGTTAAATCGCAAAACTGAGGCATTTCTTAGTTGCCAAGTGCATTTTGCAAAGTGTTCTTTCTATTGGGTTTTGAAAGTAAGTTGTGTGTGTGTGGAAGATGGTAGTGTTGATAGGAATATAGGGTTGTCATATTATTTTCTTATTTAATACAAAGTGAAATATGATTGCACTGGATAATCCTGACACCTATTTGTTTCCTTTTGAAAACCACCATCTCCTATAACAATCATCCCATATCCATATCTTCTGCTATTGCCTTAGTTCATTACTCTTACCTTGGCTGCTGTTCTAGAACTTCCTTACTGGAGGTGCCTTCCCCATCCAGTATTTGCCCCATTCTATTTAATGCAAAGGTATTGCAAGCAACCAAAGAGAAATTTCAAGTAGGAATTTTCACCATTGTTAACAAATACCTATTTCTGCATAACAAGTTACCCCCAAATTCGACACGATAAAACAGTAAGCATTTATTATTTCATGGTTTTCATGATAAGGAATCCGGGAGTCATTTAACTGAATAGTCTGGCTTAGGGTCTCCTAAGGTTGCAGACAAAATATTGATTAGTTCCACTTCATCAGAAGGCTTGACAGAATGGAGGACCAACTTCCAAAATGGCATATTCCCATGGCATTGACAAGAATTTTCATTTCCTCGTGACGGTTGACAGGAGGCCTTGGTCCCTAAGGAAATGGACCTCTCCTACGGGCTGTTTGTAGCTCTCACAATGTAGCAGTGGGCTTCCCCCAGACCAGCTGATCTAAATGAGTGGAAAAGAAATCACAGAGCCTTATATAATACATTCTCCCAGATGATTCATGAAATATAGTCCACACTCACAAAAAGAAGCAAGAATTAGGTGCCATCTTTTAAGAGAAAAATGTCAAAGATTTCCTGGACATGTTTTTAAATGTCTCTACATTCTGTTAGGAATACTTTCTCCTTCTTCTAAACTGTTCAGACGCCATCACAAGATTCAAATAGCTATCAGTGAAATGTGTCTGAGTTTCATTGCAGTTCCCACCAGATTGTAATTTTTGTCATGACCACAAACCTAGCCTTTGCAAACTCAAATGATGCTTGGGTATTTTTTTTTCCCAGTGTACCTTTATCAACATGTTTTGTTTCTACAAGATAAAACTGCCCTAGTAAATATAGTCATATTTCTAATGGACTAATCTGAACCCTAGATCCAAAGGTGGGCAGGTTACAACCATAAATAGCAGACCAGAATACACAGTATATGCTTAATACATGTTGATTTATTACCTATATCAACAACTACTTGACTGTAAATTTGGTGTAGTCTATACTAAGTTCTGTGCTACTTATGCTACACATGTTCTCACAGAGGATTGCCCTCAAGTTGTGGAACCTCAACATTAAATCCTTCAAGATTCTTGAACTCAACTCTAAAATCTCAGGCTTTCCCTTCTGCAACTCAGTTTAAAACAAAGGGAGAGAAGCTTGTGTGTTTTATCCAGGACTTCTTTAAGTTCTTTTAAATCATCAGCATTTCTACTCTTATCTAAAAGATAATTGATCAATTTAGAAACATGCTTCGGGTGTCCTATTATAAGCAACGTACAGCCCACTGAGTGCAAGACACAAAGCTGTTCCACTTGTAATCTTTCTGAATTGCGGTGCCATCCTTTGCAGGCAAGTCCTGTTGTCTTTTTCTTATGAAGGACATTGAAAAAGGTAAGCAGCAGAGAAAAATGGCCACAATTTAACAATCAGGAAGTTTATTGTAACTGAATAAACATGCCATTTTCTTATTCCCTTGAAATTTTCTTGAAGGGTGCAAATGATCTGTTATGAATAGAAGGTACATAGGAGAAAAAAGAGGCAAATGATGCTTCAGAAGAATGTCATAGATTATTTTTTAAGATTTTCATTGATAAAATTCATATCACACAATTAACTGTTTAACTATTTTAAAGAGAGTTGTACACTCATCAGCCCAGTCAATTTTGGAACATTTTCTTCATTCTTGTATTCATTATTATTAACTCCCCATAACAACAAAACACAGAAGAACTTTACACCATATGACAAAAACTAGAACAATGTGAAAACTGGTTCAAAGGAAAAGCAAATGGTAAGTTTTACGCTTTATCTGCAGTCATCCACATTCCAGTGCACTCTGGTGGCAAGACTATTCACAGCTTTGGGCAATGCACACAGGGAGTGCAATGGAGACTTAGTCCAAGTGAGGGCTCTGTAAATGGAGTTGTGCTTTTACTGTCCTTCATCGTCTTCTAAAAACCAGGTGCTTAGAATTTAAGCTTGGATACAGTCTCCCCTTCTGAGCTTGAATTTTATTGTTAATAATTCTTTGATCAACTGGGTTCATGTGCTTTTGTGTGGACTTGGCTGACACCTCACTTTGATGGTTGTTTGTTTTTAAGATCTTATTTGATTTATGCTTAGTCATGTTTAAGTAGCATGTTGTTCAGTCTCCATGTGTTTGACTTTATGTTCTTATTCTTTCTATTTTTCGTGTCTAATTTTATTAGTGTGGTGGTCTGAGAACATGGATTGTAGGATCTTAGCTTGTTGCGTTTGTTTTGCTTTTTAATTCCTAAGTTTTACTTGGTTGCCTAATGAGGTATATTCTGGCATAGCGACCTGGTACGATATACCTGGAGAAGAATGTACACTGTGCTTTTGTCCAGGGGAGGGCTCTATCTATGTCTAGGGAGTTAAGCTGGTTGATTGTGTTGTTTAGCTCTTTTGTTTC